TATAATATATAATAAAATGTAAAATAATGTAAAACATTATTTACATTACGCTATAATTAAAAACTTGAAATTTACCTTAAGATTAATAAAAAATATCAGCTTTTCGTGGGCTATTATTTGGGTATATAATTTACGCGAATATTTATATAAAATTTAAAAAAATAATTACATCTCAACATGCACTATTCTGCATTACTTTCGTCAACGGATGCTGGGTTTTTGGAGATGTCGAGGAAAGACCGCGCGGCCAGCAACATCGTTGGAACGACTGAGGCGGGTAATTATGTCCACGGAATGATGAATCGTCCAAAATACTTTGTAGAACATCATTGGACACGGGATGGGCGTCGTTAATTCATTCTTGCGCGTGCAATCCAGATAAATGCGTGCGGGAAGCGCCGTACAAACATTATAAATGATGTTCGTATTTATAATTTTCGAAAGCCGTCATCCAGCGACAAGCTACGGTATTATCAACCCTATGAGAAGCCGCGTATCATAACCCGCTGATTATTATCAGCTGTGGAGGGCTAGTAAAAACTGGCTAACAGACTTTTTCTGTTTTATTTTTCAAATCCGAGCAAGGAAAAAGCGCGATTCTAAAGACATGGTTTAGAAAAGGATACATGCAGAAATGTCACTTGTAACAAAAATTATTACAATCAATTTTAAATTTCTTTGTAAAATATATCATCATTTTTTTATACGATTAATTTCCGCGGTTAGAAGCTAATTCGCATCGCTTAAAGTTTTTTGTTGAAAATATTAAAGACTAACAAAAGACGCCGTAATTAGCCGAGTTCCCTGTAAGTGAACAATCATCTCGGAGCAATGCGACTGCAATAATCGCGAATGGTACAATAATGATGCGTATCGGGCTGCTTCGGCTTCCGTTCTAAGTGCCGATAATTGGTGTCGTGGAAAAAAGACGAGAAAGACAAATCGTAAGAGGAACGCATAGGGGCGAGATCGAGAGACCGAAAAGCGAACGGTTTGTCGTTATCGTTCGCAAAAAACTTCGTCGAGCGTCGTAGCACAGGAAGCTGAATGCGCTACACTAAACCTAACAGGCCACCTTAACAAGAGCAGTTTTTATCCGGTATCTCTTGAATGCATTATGGATGTCGTGAGTTATGTATGACTCTATCATGTTGAACTGTTCGCGATCTCGGTTGGCGCGCGGGCCGATCCACCTTCGTCAACTTTCCATTTTCTGTCAGTAACATCTGGAGAATAAGACACATACTCTCTCTCTCTCTCTCTCTATGCGAGAGTAGCATGTAATGCCCTTATATGCTTTTATTAAAGAGCAAAAAAGAGAATTTCGCAATTGTGTATTTTTCTAATAATTTTTCTAAAAATCTTTTTATTCCTCAATTGTTGCTTTATATCGAACATTTAAAATTCGGATTTTGTTATAATTAATAAATGACGTACGCACAATTTATTCAATTATTTCGTTTTGGAAAATAAAGAAGTTATTAGGACGCAGTTACTTTAGGCATTCTTATTCATTGCGGGAAATTACGTATTTTTCCGATTATTTTCCTAATATTTTTTCTTTCTGTGGTTACCATGCATGTTGCTTATATTGAATACTATAAGCGTTACTTTCAATTATGAAACTTTAGAAAATAATACACGCGGCAGATAGTTACTCTTATATATATTCATAATAATTTCATACTCGTGTGTTTTATCAATATTTTCTCTTTTTCGATTTCGCTTTACCGATATTGCGTTGCCTTACATTAAGTGCTGCGTTCAATTATCAGTCATTTTGAAAGATGTAAGGAATCTCACGTTATCTGCATAAATTTCCCTAAATCTCTTTAATAATTCTCTTTTGTTACACGATTGATTTTATTATTCCGGTGACTATAAAAAGAGCTCAGCAGATATTATTTAGGATAGAAGATCGTACACTTTTCAATGATATCTACCTAAGATTATGCAGTCCTTGCCACAGCTATAGCGGTTTATTTTTCGAGAAGACGATCCTCGTTAAATGTCCCCGTTGTAAATAATGTCGCGAATCTCAAAGTTTCCGCAAGCGAGATTATATCCGCGCGTAATGAGGAATTTACGCTCTTTCCGAGAAAGAAATCTCTAAAACCATTACGAGCTCTCTCGGCGAGCATAAGAGTTGACGCGCGAGTAGCGAAGCTAGGCACGAGAAGTACTCTTATCCTTTTGCAGTCTCACGAGTACTCGAGTACTCGAGGCGGAGTACCTTGAAGAGAGCCACGATGCAGTTCGTTGCTCACAAGGTGTCGGTTACATCTTAATGAGGTATTACTTTAATTGTCCATTAGGGATATATTTTGTCATGTAGTAATATTCATGAGTCCTTTACTTACACGAGGACACGAGTCTTTGCACTTCAACGTCTTTCTCCATTAAAGGAATATTCCATTCCCTTAGGCAAATGGTAATAACTGTAGTTGAAAGAATTAATTGCGATTAAGAAATAATTAATGCGAGGATCTACGATCAAACATTGTCATCATAATTGATATCACGTTTTCATGCGTAAACATCTCGGAATCTTAATAAATTAATATATCTTGTCATATTTTATATTGAACAAATATAACTCAATTAAGTGCATATATTTTCATATATATTTTGCTCTTACAACGATATCCTAGCTTCTTGATAGCAATCACTAATTGATAAGAGAAAGTGAGCAGCCTCGCAATCAGTAATTAATAAACCACAACTAATTCTCTCGTTGAAGTTATCGTAAATTATTTATCAATGAAGTGTGCTTCCACAGGTAGCAACAACGCGGCGTCTAATTATCACGACTTGGAACCTACGCGGCTACGACTTTCCTTCTTTCGATTTATTAGCCAATTACAATCCATATATTCACCACCGGTCATGAAACAAGATCTGTATCTGTACGTCTGATCACTTTTGTACCTGTCTCAAGAATCGCGTTGCAGTTGCTTTCACGGTTTCTCCTTCCTCATTAGGCAATTACATTGAGCTTTATCTGCGTGGTCGATTTTTCGTTCGCGTTGTTATATAGTGATTTCTGTATCACACCAAAGGCGACGAAAAACGCCTCTTATTGTCGCTTTGTGAGCGCAGATCTTGCGTCCTAATAGCCTAGATATACGACGATCGAGTCCGACGCGCAATCGAACTTTCCGCACCGATCATACGCGTTTCAGGGAGCCGGTCGCAAGATGTAGGGACTCGAGTTCCGTGTGACATTTGTGGAATAGACTCAGGAAAGTCAGTAAGGCTTTAATGACCGAGTTGCAACCCTATTGACGTTGACGAGTGGAGGGAAAATCGCGACTTCGATGGCTGCACGCGTGAGTAAGTACACTCGATAAGTGAATGATGTTAAAACTCTAATAGTTCTTGGAATTGATGGCTAACGCATACCCACAGTAATTTTATGTTCAGAGACACTGTTAAGTGATACTAGAAAATATTTTACAATATATTTGCTTCATAAAAAGTAGCAAGAAAAATATCAGATAAAATGAAATAATTTTGAGTGACGAAAAGACGATGTAGTAATTAGTCTAAATTAATAGTTATTAATAATTACAAAAGATAATTAATAATTACATAAATGTTACAACGCGCATAATAAATTTGTATTTAACATTCGCCAAAAAAGGATTTATATTCCAAATTTATTAGAATCTGTAAGTTTCTAAAAATACAATAATTTTAAAATTATCGTTGTTGTATAATTAATAATTTATTTAAATTAATAACACGGATTAATAATATAGATTTCGCGCGCGTAAAAATTCTAGCTTAAAGTTATAATATAATTATGTAAGAATTAAAAATTATAGAATATAAAATTATATGTCGAGCAACACAATGAACTATTTTAATCAGCAATTTAATCAAACTTTAGATTGAGTTAATATTGACAAGGATATATATGTATAATAATAATATATGTATGATATAATATTATATCCTTAAATATAATAGCAGTAATGAATTCAAATATAATATATATTGCCCACTAAATATTTATCTACTAGATTGTCACACACGCGCGCGTTAGAATTTTAATATTCTATCATTAATCTTACGATATTATTCCCATTAAATCTTTCGATTTAATCTTTCGATTTAATGGGAATAGCTCGAAAAAAAAATCATTGGCTAAGACGGCTAAGATATCTTGTCAATTAAATACGATGCTAGTTTTAAAGTCTGAAATTTCTTTCAGATTTAAGCTTTCATCTCTCTCTCTCTCTCTCTCTCTCTCTCTCTCTCTCTCTCAATGGGATAACTCCAAAAAAAAAAAATCATTGGCTAAGACGGCTAAGATATCTTGTCAATTAAATACGATGCTAGTTTTAAAGTCTGAAATTTCTTTCAGATTTAAGCTTTCATCTCTCTCTCTCTCTCTCTCTCTCTCTCTCTCTCTCTTTCTTTCTTTCTCTCGCGTGTGTGGTAAAGGTAAATTGAAGTAGAAATTTTTTAGCAAGGCCGATAATATCCGCCTACTCGCGTGACCCATGACATTAATACAGTGCATTATGAGTCTGTATGCGTGTCATGTACTCTCATAAGAGTTTGCGTAATCCATCTAATCACCGACATTGTAATCGTATGGTCTCAAGCAAATGAAAAGAAATGTAGCAAAACCACTGCGTGCATTCGTCAACTTTCTCAAGTTTTTAGACACAAGTTTATATTTTTATTTCGGAGAATATTTCTCTCTTTACCTTTATTATTAAGATATTAAGATATAATAAGACAATTAAAGTTAAGTGATGACAATTGCGATTTAACATATTCATCCATATTTTCTCGAGAGATTTATTTGAGAGATTTGTTTAAAATAGATTTAACGATACGAGTATCGTAAATCATCGGCGTGTGTTATGATACAAAAATGTAAATTTTTCGTTTTAACATAACATGAAATCTCACTTTAAAATTTCATTTTAAAATACGACAATTGACGAAAATTTAATTATGAGATGTTTTGATCGTATTAGACTTACCGTTTGGGCTGGTGGGCCCGCCGTGCGGCGTGTAAAGATGTCCATGAGGATTGTGCGGATGTGGGGGTGGGGGTAGCCACGCGAACCCCGCCAGAGAATGTGGAAATCCCGCGGGGTTCCAGCCGGGAGCGCCGGGTGCTCCGGCGAGATATGGTGGCCCCTGCGAAGGCCTTTGCACTCCGGGATGAATCGGCTGAGGCACTACCGGACTGGACTTCTCCTCCTTCTCTTGGCTGGCCTCCAGATCCCTCTCCAGCTCGCAATCCGAGTCCATCACGTTCAGGTCCTCAGACTGCCCGACGCTTCTTATTTCATGATCCTCGAGATCCAGATGATCCGTCGTTCGGTCTCCTTCCAACGAGCGATTCGCCTCGGAGTCGCTATGATCATCTAGGATCTCCCGTCTACTTGCGGGTGATACGGATCTCGGATTCGTGATCCTGTCGATCCTCTCGTCATCTTCCTGAATGCGCTCCTGTTCTCGCTGAAGTATCGTCTCGCCAATTACGCTCGGCGAGTTGGTCGTCAGTCGATGATCGTCTCGGTTTTTTGGAATCTCTTGATCTATCCTGATGGGTGAGGACGACTTATCGTGGCTCGTCCTGGAAAAATCCTTCACCGTGAGCATCTCATGGCGAGCGGACGGGTGATCCTGATCGAGTCTGCTCGGATGATGATGGTGATGATTGCCGAAGCTGGCGAGCCCGTGAGGACTTAGCCTGGCGAGCAATTCTCTGCTCTGAAGCCTCTGCTGTTCCATTAGCAGCTCTCGATATCTAGTCTCCATCTCGAGATTCTTTTCCGCGTCCATCCTGTCATCGTTGTCTCGCCTGGCCGCGAAGGCTCCGCCACCGATGGCACTCTTTTTCGTGCCGCTCAGCAGGGAGTCGACACTGAAACTGATCTTGCCACTTCGCGGCTTCAAATTCGAAGACGCTGACGTCGGAGTAGCCATGTCGACGTCCTCGCACAGGCGATCGTTGCCAGAATCCGGGCCCGTCACTACGCCTTCGCCGTTGCTCATACTGATTCTAACGTACACCAGTTTCTCGAGATTTTACGTCTCGCAAATCTCGGAATACAACCGCGGAATATCCGCGATTTTATTGCATCTACACGTTGAAGTCATTCGAAGATGCAATTGAAAAGACCGTCCAATTGCTGTCTAAGTTCCATGTTGCAAAGTCTATTCCACGGCAATTTCTAACGGAACTCCGAACAAATAGCGTTGTAATTCAAAGTGTCAGCTGACAATCGCTGCATTAGTTATTCGAGAATATCTGTCAAAGAACGATCGATCTGGTGGATTGACGCGATCGAGTCACGCGGCACTTTCAGGCGACGATCAGTTACATCGCGATTCCTGGACGAATCTAGTCAGTGAAGTCGAAGATGCTTTCTAGATACAGTCCGTCGCCTCAGCAAGTCCCGTGCTCCGTTATTCTTGGAATCCGCCGCATCGCCGCGGAATGACCCAGCCGACACGAGCGGATTCCCCCATTAAAGTCAGAAGAGTGTTTTTAAGATATCAACATGATGACCCAACTCTTCTTGTCTCTTAACTTTTATATCTTTCGCATCCCGACCGATCTTTGGCCGATATTCTTATATGGCAACTTTCTTTTCACGATACTTTATGGTCTTTTCTCAGGCAGCGCTTGATGAGGCTGTATAAAAACATTTGAACCACACTACTTAAATAAAATATGCAGGATAAAATCTGCGCTGTGCAATACTTGTTTTTATTAAAAATAATGTCGCGTGGATCAATTTTACATTGACAGTTTCTACTATCATGTATGTTTCTACTATGTTGTATAAATGTCAATGATCAATTCTAATCTGTCATGTATGTACTTCCCGCTAATATTCTAAAAGGTATTTTATAACATTGTATTTACTTGTTCTAAATTCAGATTATTCTTCATGATGTGGCATGTACGTACGATACACTTTAATGCTTTGTCTATTCCACCATTATATTACAAATGTCATTCTTTGCGAATAATGTCATTATTAATCATCGACGAACTAGATCTTTAGAAGCGTAGCTCGAGGAGAATCAAATGTTGATTTTCAACGTCAACAGATAGAGAGTCCGTCGGCCGTCGCTGCCATCAACGTATTCTTCCGCGCGTTCGAGAATATTGAACGTTGGCGTCGTTCGATATATACGCGATCTCCTTTAGCACTTCTAGGTTTCTGTCGAAATACTCGGACTCTTCGTACACCGATGACGTCGACACGGTGGACCTCACGACGGTTCACCGGGATGGTCAAGCGCGTACTCCAGCTTACGTTACGTGACGGAGGGGATAAGGCGGGAGAGTACCGATGATCTTACCGGAAAAGAACCGGTGACCGTCAGTGCGGCGGAGTACAAATGTAATCGGGTGTAATCTGTGTAATCTGCCGCGTGGTGACCGCCACTGCCGCGGAAACGGCACTGATTACCAGCTCGGCTGCACTCGCGGCGGAGAGCCCTGCCGGGACCCATTCTCCCTCTCTCTCCCTCTCTCTCTCTCTCTCCCTTTCTTTTTTCGTCTTTAGTGTCGCGGTGCCGCCGCCGGGTGCGCGCCGCCCCCGCAATGTTCACAGAACCGGTACTGTGGTCTGGTCTCGACCAATACGTGCGAGCCGACGCACATCTCGGGTGTTTTGCAAGTGGGCGTTCTTCTTGGTTGAACGCGGACCAATAGCGGGCAACGAGATAAATCGGAAGCCGAGGGGGTGCCCCTTCTTCTTCCGGTTTGCCACAGTCGCCAGATGGAGCTGGTTGCGCATTATCCCGAGCTCTCTCTTCGAGGAAGTCTCCAGGTGGTGGGGAACCGAGAACGGTCGATGTGGAACGTGCTGGTGGGACGCGACGCGCGGGACCGAGCGGAACGTGACGACTCCTAATTGTCTAATTCCCGGGCGCGCAATGCGCGAATTGATTGGCAATACGGGTGCACGTGGCTGTGTGCATGCTGGGCGCATGCTGGGAGAACGGCGACCCTCTCGCCTCTCGCGTTTATTCGACGGGGATCGCGCACGGTTCGCGTGATACCTCTCGTTTCGCTTTCGTGAGAGCGCGAGCAAAGGCTAATCTAGGATTTACGAGATAACGTCGGTGATATATATGGCCCCGACGTCGATCATATTTAATTATCAGCTAGATTGGCGTGCGTGCCGAAACACGTGACCGGAGAATTTCATTTTGACAGTCTGGTCTTCACGATTCACCATTAGTGCCATCATAATCCAATGGACTGCTAAATATGCAGAAGCAGGGGCCAATTTAGAAAATGCGCTGCTCAAGATAAATATTTCTCATAATTATTTAGCCTCAAAGTGATGTAAATAAATTCTGAAAGTATTGTTAAATTATGAAATTGCATATTTTTAAAGTAAACAACTAATGTAAGCTTTGTTTATGTATTAAATTTTTTAGATCTTAATGTTTTAGCATGTGTACATTTTTATACATTCTGAATAGATAAGTACGTACATTTAGGTTTTTTAAAAATGAATTTAATAATTTCGCAAAGTATATGTAATAGTTTATCTCTAATACGTTGTTAAGTTAATCTATTTTTTATTATATATTGTTCTGTGCATAAGTTATTATATAAATAATGATTGAAAATGAATAAATATTTGCATTTTTCGAGAATTGCTCCAATCCACCCCTTACTAACGCTCCGTTAACAGAAGCGGCATATTGAACCTACCGTTCAAAAGAAGGGAGCGCAGCGAGGGTGGGGAAGCGCCTGCAACACGCGCGCGGTTCTCGCGAGGAAAGAGGTATATCAGAAGGCGGGAGAGAAAGCAGAAAGAGAGAATTGAGCCGTCAAGCATAGGGGTTTTTGCTGTTTGCCAGTTGCGAATAGGGCTAAGAAGGCCTTGGATAACTCGTATACGTGCGCGTTCTCGTTGTCTCTTATGATGCTCTTTATAATGCTCTTATTCGAGTCCGTCGCGTATGTGACATGTTTTACAAACAAACTTTTTATTAAAACTCGACATAAGAAGACATTAAATTATATATAGAATAAACTTTCTGCAACTATACTAAGAAATGATGCAGAGATTTTTAAATATAAATATAATTATGTGCCTCTGATGGTTAAAAAAAAGAGATTACATAATCATTAATATTCAAATATATAAGCGAAAGGACAGAGTTCAATCGTAGTGCGGCAATAGCTTAAAAGAGAATAGCATCATAATCAGTATCACTTATTACTTGGCGTAAAAACAGTAAGAAATTTCAAACGGGTAGATTTATAAATTTTGCTGTTCATCGAATTGCTGCTCTTCTCAGGAATATTGTATGCTAGTCTTAGTGAAACTCTCTGGTGCTACAGGATTAATCATAGTAAACGTCGTCTGTCCAAACTCTCAGCTAATACTATTACTCTAGTACAATACGTTCAATCTACACAATCGCGACAATGTCGCTGGACCAACATAGACCACCAGCAAGGATACTTTATTATCGGATTACACTAATCCGATAAGTCGACAACGATAATGACAAGTGACAGCGGTATATCCCGAGGGATGCATGAGAATCGACTGACAGGAGAAATTATTCCTTCATAATTTTCTTGGAAGTCAACTAAGAACTAATCGGACTAACGAAAATCTCGTTATACCTCGCTGCCTGTGCCTCCTTCGAGATGCTTTTGGCCAGCGAAAATAAGGACATTGATGCCACCGAGCTTTCGTAATTCCTGGCAATTCTTCTCGTTCCGGATAGATTTTATTACGCATGTTACGCGCGCGAAAGTGTTTAAACGCGATATGAAATAGAATCACAGAGTCAATAACGTTGCCCGCTGCACTGAAGCGTTGATAATAATTAGATGATAGAGCGGTTGAGATCCTTTAAATGGCGAGCGATTTAGTTTGATAAACCATTACGTAGCTTATGTTTATAAAACTTGAATGTATGCTAACATACGGTTCACATGTATAAACGGAAATATATTTCTTAATTTTAATTTATGTTTATAAAACTTGAATGTACCTAAAATACGGTTCACATGTATAAACGGAAATATATTTCTTAATTTTAATTTATTACATACCCTAGGTTGTATAGTCCGAAATATTTTTAATTTTAGTGTATAATTAAATTCAGATTATTCAAAGTTATAAAATTTATTAGAATCACTAGAAGTAAAAAAGATTTAGAGGGATAATTAAATATGTGTATTGCTTGGATCTCAATATTATAAATATAATAACATCAAAAAAGAGATATTATAGTTATTATAGTATGATACAAAATAATTAATATATTATTTTTTAAACCTGATATATATATCTTCAAAATATATGCTGCGTGTGTATGTATGTGCACTTTGAAGTTAATGTTAACGTTTCTAAAAAAAAGTTGATATCGAAAAAACACATCCAAAAGTTTTTTGCTGACGATCACACAATTTGCAGAATGTGCAAATATATTCATTGTAATGCCAAATATCATATTAACTGGCATTATTTGAATCCTTTACACAATACGAGCACATATAGTGCATATCTTAATCCATAAAAAAGCATAGAATTTCATTAATTTCAAATTGAAGTAACTTTTGTTTGGAATTGTATAGCCAGTACACCCTTAAACAAAATTACTTAATTTTGTACAAAATTATGTGACAAATATAAAAAAAAATGTTTCAAAATATAAATAATTAAATATTATATAACAAAAGATAAATATTTGTTGCTATATTATATTTGATATATTTCTATCTCTTCCCCCCACCTTCTCACTCTCTCTTTCGTTATATATATATATATATATCCGTCTCTCTGTCTTTTGTAAATTACCAGCAGCGTGACGAGCAAAATGCACGAACGTTTGCGCGCGCGCAAGAGGGGATATGTCCCGAGCGTTCCCCGCGATTTGCACATTAACGGGGAATAAACGACACCGAAATACAGCGTGGACGCGCGCGATCGCCATAATAGGAGCACCGAGTAGTCTATTAAGCGTCCTCAAAACCAGTTAGTGAGTCGGCAATCCAGTTTAGGTACAAAATGGCTGTCGTTTAGTGAGGATTAATGGTCTCGAGAGTGCCCCGGGGCAGCATAATGGGGCAGATGCGTTCTGGATGAGGGGGAACAACCCTCTCTGATCTCTCCTCCCCGCCATTTATATCTCGACAACCTCCGCGCGCCACCCTGCCTCCTCGTGCCTTACCCCACCCCTCCTGTGGCCTCGTTATGTACATCTATCTGACTACAGGCTCCATTATGCCCTTTTTGTGATGTTCCACGTACGCCGGTATAAATACGCGATATCTGTGCACTTATACGTACCGGCACCTCGAAATTACAGCCCGCAGCATTACATGAATAACAAAAAGTTATATAGGTATTTGTAGTTTTTTAAATTAAGACAAAAAGTTAAAATACATATACAGAAGATTTAATTTATATATATATACATTTTTTTATAATTAATTTTTTATGGTTAAATTTAAAGTTTTTTATGATTATATGATATAACTTCCTCTCCTTAGAATTAATTTATTGTTTATTTTTACATTTTTTAATAATTTCCTCACACAAACATTTCAGACCATAAAACTGTACAGTATTATATAATATTACCATCGGAAAATTAGGTCCGCTTCATTAAAGGTTAATTACTACTTTTAATTGTTTTACATTCTGTTTTTAAGTATCTCTGAGGATCTCTCATTATGTATACTTTTCATAATCTCATTTAAATTTACTTCGCTTCTAAGGGGCGGTACGATCGCGTTTCGTGTGTGCGGGTGTGTGCGTTCATGCGGGTATACATATACGCAGAACTCACTCAAGGGTAGGGGTTCGAGCTTCGTAAGCGCCGTTTAGTTTGGCGTTTCATGGTCGAATAACTCCCCTGTTGCCGTCTACCGACGCTGCGGTCCGTGTCGTTTCGGTGCTCCTGAGAGAGCAGTAAGTAGTCATTTTGAAATCGACTCCGGTACTCGGATGCGTGTGCGCGTGAGAACATATATGCGTGAGTGCAGATGTGTGCGCCACCGGGAAAGTCGAATCTCGGCTTTTGTCGAGGCCGCCCTAGAGACGGCGCGTTGACAGAGATTTAGAGAGTGCAGTTAATGTGGAATTAGCTGCCACGAAGGTGGCGATGCCGCGGCCGTATTATGCCATCACCTGCCGAGGGAAAGACGTTCGACCATTTTTCGCGGGCCTAATAAGCCGGCACTAATGCTCTCTTGCCGCTTTCTCGCTCTCGCGACCTTTAATACTCGCATTAATGCCGAATCG